ATGAAGGAGAGGAAGAAGGGGAGGAAGAGGCGTTCCAGAAGAGCCACCGCCTCTTGGGTTGCCGTTTGAGGTGGAGGTAGTCTTCCTTCTCCCGCTCCTTCTTCGCCCGCTGGTAGTGATCCTCCTCCTTCAGGTACCACACCGGCGGCCAGCGGTGCTTCTCAAAGTACTCCTGGTTCTCTGCAGGGAGACGGGGGGGGTGAGGGCAGTGCCAGGACCACCAGGACCCACCCCATCACCCCCCTACCCTGGTCCCCGCTCACCTCCTGACATGGCCTTCATGTCCCGGGGGAACTTGCGGCAGACGTTGTTGTAGTTGGTGCAGATGTGGTGCAGGCACCAGTCGGCGAGCTGGTAGGCGCAGTGGAACTGGAAGAGATGGAGCCGGTGTCAGAGCCACCACGGCACAGAACACCAGGGATTCACCCTACTCCTCCACGGACATCCAAAACCAGACCTGGATGTCCTCTGCCAGGTCAGCACCATCCCCTGTCCCACCGTGTCCTACCTGCGCCAGCTCCAGGAACACGAGCACGTCCCCATCGATGTCCACCATCATCTGCGCCGCCTCCATCAGCCCGGTGACCGTGTACTGCTCTGTGAGGGGACACACAGGGTTACAACCAGGACACGGCGATGGCAGGCATATGGTGATGCCACCGAGCTTGGGGACAGCAAGGGCACCCACCCCGACTCACCGGTGAGAGCCACCAGATGGGGCAAGCAGAGGCGGTTGGCGAGGATGATGAGCTTCATGTCATCCAGGTCGGGGCTGGAGCTGAACTGCCCGGTGTAGAGGTACTCCAGCACCGCCCGCATGCAGCTCTTGCTGGTGTAAGGAAGTGCCACCTGCGAGACACGCAGCGATTGTCACCCCATGGCCGTCCCCAGCTGTCCCAAACCTTCCCAAATCCCAGGGCTTCTCCTCACCTCGTTAGTGGAGCTCTCCACAAAGGGGCCGCCGAACATCACGGCCATCCAGTCGCAGCTGGAGATGAGCAGGGGCTTGTGGGCACTGATAGCACCGTCATCCAGCACGAAGGTGACATCTGGGGACAAGCAGAGGGATGCTACCGGGACCGTCCCCATCACCCAGCGCTCAGCCACCCCCTGCCAAAAAAGGTCTCGCGCCAGGGACAGCAGAGGGAATATCCTACGGTTTGTCCTAAAAACCTCTATATTTTTTCCCCCAGCATCTCCCACCGGCTCAGAGGAGCTCGGGGAAGGGCCCTGGTGGATTTCCAGCTCTTCTGAGGGATTTTCCCAAGGCATATCCTGATACATTTGAAAGCAAAGGGGAAAAACCCAGGAAGCAAACGTCTCAGCCAAACACGAGTCCTTGGGAGAGCTGGGAAGGACAATGGGGATCTTCTGTACCCCCTAACTCTGCTCTCCATCCCCAACCATTGCTTGTCCCTGAGGGGCACCAGGGCCAGCACGTATCTGTCCCAACAGTGACAGCTTGACCACATCAAGGTCCATCCTCAGGAGACAAATTCAGCTGGAGGGAAGTTAATGCACCCCCCCCAAACGTCACCCTAAAGCATCACAGCACGTGGTGCGTGGTGGAAAGATGGGCCAGGGAAGTCCTCCCAAGGCCACGTTGCTCCTCATAAATGAGATGACCCTGTGAAAATCCTGCCCCGGGAGGGAAGGAAGTTGCTTTTGCTGCTTTCCTGTAAATAAACAGAGCTGTCAAGCAGGCTGGGGGGGGCAGGAAACCCTGGGGAAGGGCCATTACACTCACACTTTCTGGAAAAAAAAAATGCTATAAACATCCCAGAAATGCACAATGTGACCAAAAACCCCAGGGAAGAAGAGTGAGCATCTGCAGGCTCACTGCATGGAGCAAAGCCAGGAGCTCCGAGCCCCTCCATCCATCCAACAGAACCCCCCCAAAGGGAGGCGGTGCTCCCCCTCGGCTCGGAGTCGTACCCGAGAAAGTCCCCTTGGCCAGGCATTCCTTCACCCGGTTGGTCCTCCGGACGTGGAAGGCTTTGGTGATCTCCTGGTTCATGAACGCCTCGTTGTTGAGGATGTTGGCCACCATCATCCGGAGGTCGAACACCTCCAGCAGCTCAGCGATGTGAGCAATGTGCATCAGGTCCCGCTCGTTCTCATCCAGCTCCCCCGTGTACAGGTACTTCAACACAGCCCGGAAAGGACCCGGCTGGATGGACGCGTCCATCTTCACCACCACCATCAGCTTGGACTTGTAGGTCAGCGGATCTTCTGCCATCTCTTCCTGGATGCTGGTGAACGCCCGGCTCCAAGACGAGAGGTCCCTTCCCCGCCGCAGCCCGCGCTCCCCGTTCTCGTAGCGGTTGCCCCGGAGGATCCCGTCACTGGTGGAGGCTCTAAGGCACGGTTTTCGCTGGCCGGATCCAGCCTCCTCGGTGCTCTCGCAGATATCGAAGCTGGCGGCTCGGAGGAGGAAATCCCGCCCGTGGTGCCTCTCCTCTTGGTGCAGCATCCGCTCGGCGGCCGCGGTGACAGCCCCCCCGAAGCCGTGCCCCGCCGTGCTCTGCTGGTCCTCCTCGCTCAGGTCCATGAGGAACAGGTCGTAAAATTTGGAGGAGGAGGTGGAGAGGTAGATCTTGTGTGCGTAGATTTTGATCTTCTCTTGCAGCACCAGGATGACGTCCGCGCACAGGGGGTCCTCCAAGAGGTGGGCTGGGCGCTCCTCGTTGTTGGAAGGGGGGTCGGGGACAATGATGATGGGCGGAGGGGGCTTGGGGGGCAGGAAGGGGGC